ATAGCCGATGCATGGGTTTGAAGGGGTGCCCTGGTCACAGACGCAGGGGCATGCCTGGACCACGGCTAGCAGAAAAATATCGCGTTGACGGTAGTTCGCACAGACGCACGGGAGTTGAACAGAGCGCAGAGCTCGGTCGGACTCGGTGCACGGGCACGCACTCGGTGGCTCGGTTCCAAAGAACGGACGATAATGGACACGTGTGCGGGAAAAAAAATAGGCGTTGAAAGTACGTGTTGTCGCACGCCGGTTGAATAATTCTGATCGCTACGAGGAACTCGGCCTCGATAGCCTTCTTAGGCTCGGTTGTGATCCGTCGGCGACTACCCGACCGACCGACTAAATTACGACACCGAATGACTCATTTATCTTACAACGTCTAAAATTATTTAAACGAAACCAGGGTTCGGGCGATTATACTAGGATCTAAAAATTATACGATGCTCCGAAAAAGGCCGAACTAGGGTTTTTTCTACTACACCAAGTAAACCTACTCATTTTGTGCCTAAACATTAACCCTAAGTTCTATGCAATTTATGAGGATCCTACATCTAACAATTTCAGCTAAATTGTAACTGGAACAATTTATAAAAATACGACAAAATGAGGCTAAAATCCAGAATTTAACGATCTCCAAAAATTATGAATCTTTAACCACAGTATCTACAACATATATATGATTTTGGTAAAAATTTCACAGCAACACTCAGCCCCTAACTTGATCAACAAAAATCGAGCATTATCGGTCCAATTTTATAAATCTGGTTCGGCTGTCAACCAAACTCCAAACTTCATCAAATTTTAACCTAAGCCTCAAAAAACATCAAAATAGGATTTTTCTTTTTCCATTTAGAATCACATTTTTTGGACCAGCCATCAACATATTATGAATTTTTATCCACTTAATCATATAAAATTATATTTATCTCAATATCCTCACTTAGCATTTTTAAAATAAATTATAATTAATGTCTAGAGACATGTTGTTGAGTTTCAGCCATTATACCTCAGAATGTGCTCAAATAAAAAAAGAAAATAATAAAATAGAAAAAATATGAAATCAAAAGTTGGATGGTTAGGAAAAATAAAGGGCGTGGTTGGGCGCTCGGGCTCGTGCTAGGACGCGCGGTACATATGTGAGGGTCGCTGGACGTGCCGGTACTGCTAGCTGGCCACGGGACACGCGCGTTTGGACTAAAGTAGGGCTGAACGCGTGCGTGGGTGCTGAGTCTGGCGTGCTACGACTTAGGCGAGCTGGTGCTGGGCGGCGCCTGAACCTGCTGAGGACCGTACCAGGGCTGCTGCGCGGCGGGATGGTTGGCTCGGGTGCTTGCCGACGCGGCTAGACGACAACTCACCGGAAATAGCCCGATTGACCGGAAAAAATCGATGGAATCGTGAAGCTTGACCGATTTACTTGATGAAGTTGATGAAAAGGCTACGAAAAATTGATGTTTCTTGCTATGGAATGTCTATTTTTGCTGAATAATGTAGGAGATGATAATGAATAGTGGCCAGGGTTTGAGGTGTTGGGATTTTGGGAGATGAATTGTGTGCTATATATATACACATGAGTAGTTAGGGTTTCATTGTCTTGTTGGGCCTTAAAATTGGGCTTAATAACCAGGCTAGGCATTCAATTCGACTTGGGCTCGATTAAATTGAATATTGACTAAGGAATTAAATGCTCGGTTAAGATTGGACTTGGACTGAATAAATTAGTCGGTCAAATTACTAAGATAATTGTAGCTCGGATTTAAAAATCGACAGAGGTTCGATTTTTAAAATAGACTAAAATAAAATTGAACATGGGCTCGATTAAATAAAATGGGCCGAAATAAAATCGAACATAGGCTCGATTAACTTAAAGGAGCTAGCTAAAATAATTGGGCTCGCTCAAAATTGATTAGGCTTGAAGAGATTGAGTATTCGGCTTTGGTCCGCTTTAATAAAATTTCGATTATTTCAAGGCTTGGCTTTAAAAATTTTAATTATTAAAAATTGAATAAATTCTCCATGGCTTAGACTTTAAACTAGTTACTTGACTTAAAGCAAACAATAATAATAAATGCATAAAATAAGGAAATTGGTTATTTATGGAAATAAAGTCGAGCTCCATAAATAGTAAATAATGTTTTTGGGCGTTACAATCTATCCGCCTTAAAACATTTCCATCCCCGAAAATGCTAAACTAAAGTACAAGTCAAAACTCATAATTAGCTAGGATTCTTAGGTTTAAAATCGGTCTTCCTCCTATTAGTGATCTTGGCAATGTCACGGCAATTCTAGCTTCAAGTCCCCGGACAAATTCAGACTAGTGACTCTTATTTCAAGCCTCCATAATTTACCCCAGCTTATGGTTGTTATACACCGTTAGCCCAAGTTCCAGAACTGAGGATCTCTATTTGGATATTGTGATAGCGCTGTCTCGGCATCGGCTGGTCTCGCTGGTACTAGTTCGCTATGGCAGTTCGCCAAAATTCGCTATGTCTCTCTCGAAAGTCCAAGGCAGAACTTCAGATATTATGACTTGGGGACTTCGAAGGAAACCCATCTTTCCCTCTTAGCAGCATCGCCCTGGCTATGGCGACGCTTCTGGTCTTAGGGAGAACTGAGTTGTAATCTTTACTATGGCGGTCTACCTTGTCAGGATGATCGGGTTCCACCCGATTAGACAAGATTTACCGTACACTCCGTCAGGCTGATCTGGTCTTAGGGCGTGCATGGCAAGGTGCTTAGTTTCTAGTCTTTGAAAGGGAGAGGGCCGAGTGACTTAAATCTACTTAGGCAAATTGGGCACTTAGGAAAAATAAGACTTGGGCACAAAAGAAATTAGGCAAATTTTTATAAAACACGTAGCATCCAATTAAGCACAAAAATACATTTAGGCACAAAAATGCAAAATACACATTAATGCACAAAATAAGAGCACAAAAGAAAATTTAAGAAGACGAGGACATCCTCTTAAGTCTCGATTTTTGGTTAACGGACTAAATAGACGTGGACATTTCTTTGATTAAATTTTTGGATTTAGCAAAATTACACAAAATCGAGCTATGAAATGAAATGCAAATAAACAAGCTTTTATCAAATAAAGCTTTACATACATTGGCACAAAGGGAGGACACAAGGTCTTTCACATCAAATTTTGTACTTTTTGCAATAATGCTGAAGAATACGCATATATACTTTCATGGTATATATCAGCGGTTGATTATCAAAACTTTAATTTCATTTTAGTACTGTGTTGTATGCAAAAATTCAAAATTGATCCTATAATTTGGCCACTGTCTAAAAAACTACCCCTATTTTGACCACTTTTAATTTAGATCCTATAATTTGTCGATTTCATCAATTTTGGTCCTTTTTTTATCCGTACCCTGGATTAAAAAGTGATGTGGCATAAAAAAAGGACCAAAATTGATGAAATCGACAAATTATAGGACCAAATTGACGTGCCATGTAGATCATAATTACGCCATGTAACCTTAAAAAACTGACACGTCATGCCACGTCACTTTTTAATCCAGGGTCCGGATAAAAAGGACCAAACTTGATAAAATCCACAAATTATAGGACCTAAATTGAAAGTGATCAATATAGGGGTGGTTTTTTGGATAGTAGCCAAGTTATAGAACCAATTTTAAAATTTTAGACTGTATTGTAAAATATCATTAGTTCCCATGTTAGTGGTTAAAATATAGAATATATTCTTATGATGTTAAGGTTCAAATATTTTATTTGTTTTTCAAGAATTTTCTATCTTTTATTATTATAATAAAAAAAATCTCACTTTAAATATAGGGGAGTTAGTGTTATTCTCCTGTGGGGAGATGTATTATTCTCCTTAAGGGAGTTTTGTATTCTCCTGTGATGAGTTTTTTTTTTTTTTGTTAGTT